GAAAACAGCTGATAGACTTTTGTAGACAGCCACTTAGAGCACGCAACTGGAAAGTTACCTGCTTTTCTTACAACACAGCATTAGCAGCCATCACTTCAGCTGCTCCTGAGCCAAATAGGCTTCATCTGTGATGCTAAGGGTATGATTATATGCCATACTCCATTTTTAAATAAGCCAAATTTTTTTGTAGGAGGGAAGGGCACCTTATATTTGGCCCAATAAAAGGGTCATTTCTCCTGTCTTAATGACAGTAGTGTATTAGCCTTGTGGAGATCTGAATCACTGACTGGCTGTCAGCCCATTATTTCCAAATTAATTGGGGGGGAAAAAGCTGCTTCTGATCTTCTTTCATAGACACTTTTTCATAATTTTAGGTCATCTTCTGTAAGGGTTAATCTACTTAGCCATCTGACCATATCTATGTCCTAGCTCCTTTATATTAATCTGTTCCTACAAGTGGGTGAGGTGAAGTCATTGCTTAATAAAGCCTTATTTAACCAAGTTATAAATTAAGGGAAAGTTGACACATATTTTAGAAAGTTAAGAAAAAGCAATTCAAACACTAGGAGCTAGAAGGTTTAAAATCAGTTTATCACTGGCACTTAATACCTATTATCTATATTACCATTCTCACCAACACTATAATAGATATATACACCTCTTTGAGAGGTACTGATTCAAAATTTATCCCTAGATTCCCAGTGAAGATATTTTTCTTAGTCAAGTGACAATACACACAAACGTCTTATGGAGCTATAATACATATATGATGACATTCAAGATATGAAAGGCTATATTTTACTAGTCACCACAAAGAATGTTTACCTTTAATGAAATGTCCAAACTCAATTCTGTTGCCTAAGTACTCTGTTCCATCTACCATGGTCAAGGAAGCAATAAGCATTTTGTGGTAAGACACTTTTTGCCATTTTTATAAAATATTTACTAAGATAATTATTTGTGAAATAGTTTTTTAAATTACTATTTTATGGAACACTTTTGGGCTTGTAACACCCTGACAGAACCCATAAATACTGGTTCAAGACTTCTGCATAAAGGAAAGGTATCAAGGAAATTTCAAAGCACATAATGGAAATTAAATATTTTTATACTGAAACTGTTATATATAGGTATTTTTGATACATACATAATTTCACATTTAGTATTTAAGGTGAGAAAATATCACTAGATTAACTGTTCAGGTAATATCTATTCACATAATATAGAACACCAGAGGTCCACAAAACACTTCTAGATAAACACTAAGTAATTATGAATCTGGTTATTTAGTTTTTCATTTTCTGTTATGCAATCAAACTTACCCACAAATACATTATATTATCATTTCACCCTCCCAATCACCAAAATAGCTTTTCATTAGTCAGCAAGACCCAAGGGATCACACTATCTTAAATTAGTTGAAACACATTTCTCGGATCACAGTAGTGATTCTACTTTTTCTTCTATAAATAATTTGTCTGTGGAGTCTAAAATATTTTTAGTCACCATTATCCCCTAACAGAACAAATGAAAATAAATATTTCTTCACCCTCCCATCTCCTTATAAACTTCTATCATCATTCCAAAATGAAAAAAATCTCAGATTTGGTAAAACCTCAAGTGCCATCTAATCTAGACTTCCATTTGTAGCTAGCTCTATTATTAGGAAATTTCCCTGCCTCAAGCCTAAATCATCCTCTCTCCTACTTCCTCTGCCCTTTGCTCCTAGCTCAGCCTTCCAGAACCAAGCAGAGCAAAACTAATCCTTCTTCCACATAATAATAGCCTTTCAAATACTTGATGACAACTATCATTCTCTGCCTTCCCCAGTCTTCTTTTCTTTTCAGCAGGATAAGCATCCCCAGTTCCTTTAATCACCCTCCAAATGGCATGGTTTTGAATTCCCAGCACCATCTTGATTAAGCTTCACTGGATGTACTCAACCTTGTCAATGTCCTTCCTAATATTCCCAGAATGGAACACAATACTCTAGTTGTGGTCTGACAAAGGGACAGTACAGTAGTGGATCAATCACCTCCCAAGTTCTAGGCACTATTTCTCCCTAATGAAGCCTAAGACGACAACAGCTTCTTTGGCTGCCATGTCACATTGCTGTCTCACATTGAGCTTGTAAATACACTAAAAAGCCCAGCTATTTTCCATACGAATCATTACCTATCTTGTATTAGTTTCTCATCTTGCACTACTTGAGTTGTTTTTTTTGAATCTCATTAAAATATTTAAATTTATCTTGATTATTATCTTATTACATTTGGCCCAATATTCTAGTCTTTCTTTTTAGATCTTGATTCTATCATCCAGCATATATAGCCACTAAATGAATAAGCCATATGATTCTGTTGTTGTTGTGTTTAAAAGGGAGGTACAATATAGTAGCATTATACTGACCAATCAATTTATATACTTATGAGGATTCTTAAATAGTATATTATGTGCATATTACATTAAAAAAAGCTTTTAAAACCATCATTTATGTGATTTTAAAAAATCATGACATTATAGAATTCCATTTAAAACTCAAGTCAAATCAATAGAATGTTTCTGTTTTCTTTAAACATTTATATTCTTGCAGTTATTATTTAATTCAATATATATTGACATTTTATTGAAATAGTTGAACTTTTTTTTAGCCTTTCCAATAGATACATCACAAAATTGCTATATGCACATTACAAATGATGAGATTTTGCTCAACTGAACCAATCATCAATGCTTTTTAATCCCTTTATGGCTCTCTCTGTTTTTCTTAAAGCAAATTTTAAAAGAAAAGAAAAGAAAAGAAAAGAAAAGAAAAGAAAAGAAAAAAATACCACAGTGTGTTTGGGGAAGAAGATACATCATTGTACTATGTCTGAGAATGCTGATAATAATATAAAACTGGAATGCTTAATGCATGAAAGATAATTAAAATTATGTCATATCACCTTTTAATGTGTATGTTTTAATGCCTAGAAAATTCTATAACTAGATTGAAAAGTACCTGACATATATCTTTTAAAGTATACATTATGGCTTGATCATTTTGCTTAACAGGCAACATAAAAATTCAGTTTTGAAAAAGGAATACTTATTAGGAAGAATAAATACAGACTTAAGGATAACTATCATCAGGATAATTAAATTCAACCAACATTTATTACCTGACCATTATGAGCAAGGCAAGAGGCAGCATGGCTAAAGGACATGACAGCTGTCAAAAAAGCATTATTTCAAGCTAGGCCTCTTACACATTCTAGCTGTGCTAACTCTAGACAAGTCACTTAACCTCTCAGAGTCCCAAGGCAATTCTCTAACACTATAAATTACAAAAGAAAAGCTCATCTGCATACATGGAGGGAGTTTCCACCCTAAGAGGCATAATTCTCAAAAGTATCACCCTCCATACTCCGAAATGTATATGGCACTATGTTAAGCACATTTGGGGTACAAAGACAATATCACAACAGTCCCTGCCATCTTAATTTAAATGGACATCATAAACAAATGTCCCCAAATAAGAAGCAAAGGGTCTATGAATATAACAGCTCAAAACAACACACTTCCTTCCATAGCTATAGATGTGCCACCTGAAATGAAACTAGTTTATCACAATCATCCTGATATTGTGTAGGGGGGGGAAAGGGGGCTGCTTCAAACCATGGACAAAACTTGAGACTTGGAATATACTGGAGGTAGAAGTATAGGATGGCAAATCGCACAAATTAAGGTATTCAAATGAAAATGCAATCCTTGGAATCAATCCTAAAGGTTCCTCCTAGATCTTCAAAGCTGAAAAATCAATACATAGATAAGTTTATCAGGTTGTTTGGCCTCAGCTTATCAGGAACAATAACATAAAACTGACAAAGTAACCAGAAAAAATGCAGAATTGGTAGTTCCAGCCTTGGAAAGCCTTTAGCTGTGCTCAGCACAGTAATTCCATAACAACACACTGATGGTTGAGCCTAAAAGTCAGCAGAAGTCTAGGACCTGGCCTTATATTTCAGTAACACAAGCAAGGCCCAACTCTTCTGCCATACCATTCTATCAACAATGCAGCCCAAGCTGAATAGCTTTTACCCAAATTCTCAGGACTAAAGACAGATCCCAAAAGCCTAAAGTTGTATCCCATCAACATTCTAGCATGCTAATATTGTTACTACCTGCCCTTAGGCCTATCACTCAGCTCACATTCATAAAGCACGTGGACAAAGCAAAAGGAAACAGAGAGGTGAAATGAGGATAATCAGCAATGTGATGATTCAGTCAAATGACTCTAAATCTTACCTTGTGGCTTTGCAAGTTATTAACATCTATGCTAATGAAGAAAATCTATCCCTTTTCCCCCACAGAAAGTAACTAAAGAAAATAATTTAAACTGTATTTCAAGGAGTAAAATTTTTAATCTAATTCCAAATCCCATTAATTCTCAATGATTTGGGGGCATTATAGTAATCTTTAAGATAACAAAATATTTTCCCAGAGGACTCAAGTTAAAACTACATTATATACTCTACATTCTGTGTAAATTTCATTTAATGTTTCAGGCAACTAAGGTAGGATTCATTAAGCTTATATTTCAGTGCATTGATATAACATATTAGAGATTCAAAAATACTTTAGAGATCTCCTACCAACTTTCTCATTTTTACTTTGAGGAACAGAGATATTAGGGGCTTTAAGTGACATGTCCAAGGTAATATAACTAGTTAATGACAGAGCCAGGATTAGGAAGAACCCAAGGCTACAGAAGGCAGCAAGCTATCTTCTAAAAGACTGGCTCCCTTCCATAAGGAGTTTAATTACAACCAGGCAGTAGTTTACACACAAGGAGAATCTAGCTTGAAATATGCAACAGAGAGACAAGCTACTCAAAATTGCATTCAGGACAAATAGCTCTGGATTTTGTTTTGATTTACTTTTATTCTACCCACAAATACACGTCTTAAATATTGACAATAAGCATATGCCCCATTTAAAGGGATGATCAAATGCCCTACCTTTCCTACATAAAGAGGATCTGAACCCATATATTCCTCCAGCACAAAGAACTGATTCCACACCCAGCTGCGCTTGGTCCTCGGCCTCCCTGCCTGGAAATAGGGCTTTGACCTGGACCTTGAGAGTTCTGCTTGACTCATCCCAGAAAGACACAGGAAAAGAGCTATTATCTGCAAAAAATGGCAGAACTCCACTTTGCCCAACTTCATCTTTTTTTTTTCTTTCTTTTTCCTCTGTAAGAAAAAAACCTTGACAGGAGAACGGGCACAGTTCCAGTTGGCTTAGTAGCTCTAGCCTCCGGCAGGGTGTCAGCTGGGAGTCCAGAGATAATAATTTGTGGAGTGTTCGATTGGAAGAGGTCACCACTGCTGAATAGCCTTCACCAGAGAAATGGTATAATAGGTACCTATCAGAACAAAAGTGAAAAACTGATGTCAGGAAATAAAACAAATAATATCTTTCATATTTTACTTAGCACCATAATATTCTATTTCTTTGAAGTGTCATTATTACCTTAAGCAATAAGAATATTTTATTAACTCAGATGCTGGATTATAATATTTTTGCCAGTTGTTTTTTTCCCTATCATATAAAAACTGATGAGGTAGCATCATTCACATTCCAAAACACAACCTATCAAATCATTTTCTCTCCCAGGGCACATCATCTAAGCATGTGATTTATGTAACACAAATGTAGGAACATCTTTTTTTTTTCCCTCTAAAGAAATTATTTTAAATGCTAGCCTTTATTTTTTTCTCCCATGTTGCAGCCAATTTTACTCATCTTAGGATGAGAAAGCAAAGCAGCTAAAAGCAGGGATTTATCCAAATGGAAAGGACATATGTTAGTTTAAATCTCTTCTATGAAACTGTAAAGAAAAATAAAGTAGTATGAGGTGACTCAAAATGGGTTGATTTATTCTGAGTCACAGAACACCAGCTGTTTTGATGTGCTCTGATTTGATTGTGCTCTGTTAAAAAGCTCAGTAGTTTCCTACTTTTCACATTTCAAACACTGCCATGTATGCCATGTGGAATGTTAGTTTCTATGCATCTTTAGAGGAGTCAGAAAATGAGACTAAATTCTGAGTTCAGTTCTGTGTTGGCATGAGCCCAGGTGGTCCTTCAGTAATAGCATGGGGAGAGGGACCTTTTATGCTAATTTCTATTTATTTCAGTTACAAAAGTATGATTATACAAGATACATAAAATCAGCCACAGACCAGACTTTCTATATATGCCCAAAACACAGACAACTGAGAATTTATGAGCAAGTTCATTTCAATCAATATTCTATATTTTTGTTCCTCTTGAATTCATTTTACTGCCTATAAATAAATCAACAACGTCATAATTAAGGGAAATGGGTTATTGTTCCCATAGTCTTCCATATCCCACCTGCAAAAAAGGGCAAAATTGTTTTGTGAAGATAGACCCAGAAGAAGAAACTTGCCTATAACAGTGGAACTTAGTCTACAGGCTTGTTAGAAATGATTCTTTTCCTCTCCTCTTTAAGAACCTGTCCTTTGTACAAAATAATTCCATGCTAACTCATCAAAGCCAAGTGTCAGGAATTCAAGAGGCATTAGGAAAAAATGGCCAAGGAAAAAATAAAATAAATACCAAATCAGTATAAATGTAGTAAAACAGTTCTGGAACTAGTTGAAATTAAAATTTAATTGAGGCTATATTAGGAATTTTTATATAATTTTGTAATTCATTGGGGGAATCCAGAATGTCCCAACGTATAGCTAACCGTTGCATGTCCCACAAACCAAAAAAAAAAAAACAAACAACAGGTCACATGGTACAGTTGAAAGAACACTGGCTTTGGATTTCAGCAAATCCTAGTTCTGACAATTACTGTGTGACCTTGAGCAAATAAGATGAGGTCTCTGGGCCTCAGTTTTCTTATCTATAAAATGAGGGAAACAGGATAGATTAGGATTATAGTATTACAGACTTAGTGCTGGATGGGGACCTGAGAAGACGAGTCTAATTCCCTCATTTTACATATGGTGAGGCAAAGAGATATTAAATGACTTGTCCAGGAATTACCTCTAACATTTCTTCCAGCTCTAAACCCATGATTTTATGACTATCTAATAAATACTAAATGAGTATTTCTACTCCCAGATTCCAGACCCTTAATCTGAAGGGCATCAGTTTGAACAATGATCAACCAGAAGAAACTCTGATGCTCAGAAATCTCCCCTAAGGGTATTCCTTGAGATAGTACTGAGAATCTAAAGTACAACTGTATTGGGGCAATCAAATCTCTACTCAAACTGGAAATGAATCCTAATTTATACTGGCTCATGGCTTCTCTAAGACATAGAATATATTCCTAAAAAGTGGTTGGTATCACAATGACAAATTATTAGCCCAAACAATAAAAGAGAATATACAGAACCATACATTATTAAAAAAAGCTTGCTTTCATATAGATTTAGTCAAATTGTGGTCCCTGAAAACATGGCTACATATATAGTCACTTATTAACTTATAAAACACAAAGGCATTTCTAGCTGAGGGCTCATGAAGCCAACATTGTCTTTTCTTGCTAGTGGCCACTCTCACTGCAAGAGATGGAGAATGGGGAATGAGAAGAAGAGTTAGTGGAGAATGAAAGGAACAGTTTGCTTCATGCTACTTTTTACTTCAGAAGCTGGGCAGCTGACTCCATGGCTATACGGGGAACAATCTTAGTATCCTCCTTGTTGGGCAATGTATTACATAACAAAACAATTTTTATACTATGATAATGTTTCTACCCTTATCCACCAAACACTACAAGAATGTGTTTGCCTAGCAACAACTCTATTTTATTACAAGGATTTTTAACTAGAATTGAAGGTAATAGGAGAAAAATATCCAGATATAGCCGCTAAAAACAGATAGCTTTTTGAGGCAGTAAGTATGAAAAAGACATATGATCAAATGTAGAAATGCTTTCATAGTCCTCTAAAGACAATAACTGGGGAAGATGGGAAGAAACTATACTTGGGATCAAAAATCTATACCAATGAAATGACTATATAAAATGAACAAAGTGAACAAAATCTCAAATATGGTCAGACTTTATAGGGTATGACTCATTATTCTAATATAGCAACGGAAAAGGACAAAAAGAACAGATTATGGAGAAGGGGAATGAGGGCAGTAGGGTACATCATGAAGATATTTATACTTGTGTGGATATATACAAACCTGAAGGAAGAGTGATGATGCATTGAATTTACAAAAGGATAATGAGGAAGGAAGTGGTAGACATGTACTACAGAGCACCGGTGCAGCTGGGAAGAACTAGATGACAAGTTCCTCATATAAATCATAAATCTCGCAGTAAGACATTCTATAGTTGTGATTGGATATGTCAGCAGCTACTGATGGAAGTGTCTATGAAAAGCAAAAGAGCTTATAAATTACAAGCATTGGTTCAAAAGCAATGGGAGGTGTTCCAGAATTAAATTCTAGTTCTCTAAGTCATTAAAGAGGAGGAGAAAAGTATGTGCTGTTTAAAGAGACTAATCTGACTGAACAGGAACATCAATTATGCCTAGTGGACAGCTCTAACCGGATGTTCCATCGATGCCTCAAACTTACCACATTCAAAATAGAACTCAGCAACTTTCCTTCAAACCTTCCCTTCCATCCAACTTCACTAGCACTATCAAGGGCACAACCACCCTTCCAGTCACCCAGATGAAAAAACTAGGTGTCATTATGACTCTATACCCTCATTCAGCCCACATATCCAATCTGCTGTCAAGTCTCGTCATTTCCACTTGCTCAAGGTCTCTCCTGTAAATCCCCTTCACTCTAGTCATAAGGCCGACACCCATGCAGGCCCTCATCACTTCATGTCTGGACTATGTGAACAATCTTCTGGATGGTTTCCCTTCCCAAGTCTCTTCCTACTGCATTCCATCCTCCACTTAGCTTCCAAAGTATATATATAAAGCACAGGTTTGACCATGTTTTCCTTCAAGATTTAGCTCAAAACCCACCTTCTACAGGAAACTTTTCCCAGCTCAAATCCCCCTCCACCTCCATTACTAGTGCCTTCTTTCTGAAAATATATGTGTGTATATGTACATATATACATATATATATATTTAGTATGTACAGTTTTTTGTTGTCTCTCCCATTAGAATGAGTGCCTTGACAGCAAGAATTGCATTTATACTTTTCTAGCACCCCTAGCATACAGTACAGTGCCTGTCACACAGTAATTGCTTAATAAATTCTTGGTTACTGATTTGGAATTAAAAATGAAATAAGAGATTTAAGCAAGGGCAGATAACTGAGGATGAATACAAAAGTCACGCAGTCCACTAAGAATCTTGGCAAGAAGGCCAAAAAGCAATATGACCTAGGTTCAATGACACTTTGAAAAACACAAACAAAAACTTTTTAAGGCAATGCTGCAGGCCTAAGAAAGAACAAGGAAAAGGTAGAATTCTAATGATAGCTCACAGAAAGGAAGGAAAGGGAAGGGAAAGGAAAAGAAGGGAAGTCAATAAAATTTTTATCATAGCCACAATTGAATCATAGTGAAATCTGATATTTACTTAGTAATTTAATGTTTGCAAAGCACTTTGTATACAAAGTCATTTGCTCCATCTAACAACTCTGTACAGTAAATAGTACAGAAATCATCATCCCCATTTTATGAAACAAGCACAGAATTTAAGAGACTTTATCATGGTCTTATAGCTATCAAGTGTAAAGCAGAGTATTATGTTCTTGATTCTAGGTCCATCATTCCATCTAATGAACCATTCTACTATATTATTTTATTTGTATTTTTTAATTAAAAAAAAAGATTTTAAAGGCTATTCTGGAAATCTCCATATTATTTATAACACTATACAAGATGAGTTTTAAATGAATATTTGCAATTCAAATGAATATTTGCAATATAGCCAGTTGTGAAGTTCCAGATTGCCTGAATGTAGGAAGAACTTGATGGATAGGGTGGGTATCAAGTCTTATCCCATAATACCTTCTCATTCTCTTTTGCTAGACCTTCATCTATGTCACACTCACTCCCTCAAGGCCCAATTGGTTCTAACACCTCTTTTGTTTCTGTTTTCTCTTACCTGTTGATCTGATCAGCTCCTCAGTGTTCAATTATCATCTCAATACAGATGATTGCCAGATCTACCTTCCCAGCCTCAGTCTCTCTTTTGAGGTCTAGTCTTGCATCAATTGCTTATTGAACATTTCAAAATTGATGTCCCATGAATAACTTAGATGTGGCATGCCTAAAACAAAACTCATTATCACTCTCCCAAACCCACCCCTCTTCTGAGATTTCTATTACTGTTAAGGGCACTACCACTCTTCCAGTCACTCTGACTTTCAACCGCTATGTCATCCTCAACCCCTCTCTACACAT